CAGACTGAGTAAACTGCCATCAACACAGTATCTATATCTTGACTTGAGATAATTGTTGATTACTGTGTTACCAAAATGAAACTGTAAACGTGAAAGTTTATGATTCTTGAGCTTCTGAGAACGGTGCTAAGCCGGAACGCAGGCACAAATAATAGTGTTCAAAGTGTTACGGAATCAAAAAATGTAAACAACTGCTTCTCAATCAACAACAAAATAGTTTTTTCTTACAGGACCCTGATTATGCCCTACTTTGTTCTACTATTTCAATAGGCACGTTATTGTGAAGAATAATGTTACGATAAAATGAATAGAGTCTGATCGACTAGCAAACACCTCAAAGATGAAACGAGAAAGTTCATCATTTGTTGTGAAAAGCTTGATCGTCGCAAAAAAAAAATATAAGCTCAAGAACGCCACAATACCTCTTTCCCGATAATATTTGAAAATTGAATTTTTCCATGTCTTCTTACAAAAAATAGAATTTTGAATAAAATGCGAGCCTGCAAAGTATACTCTGTACAAGAACTATAAAATGAACAAACCAGTGCGTGTGGCTTCATAGTTTTCCAACAATGGGAATGAGCGACCGCAGTGTTTGTAAAAGACAAAGCGAGGTAGAGCACCTTAATAAAAATAACATTGAGATAGAGAAAACCGATTGAAAACAAGGGAACAGTACTCTATCAGAGACATAAACTCCATTGCGATGAGCATTCAGAACCATTAACATGGTTTCAAGCGCAGGCCGTGCCCAGTGCGACAAAAAATGGTTTGCAAATGCAGCGTATTGCTTCTCCACTTGGTTAGGGGAGCCATATCTACAATCTTTCATTGTTAAAAAGATCCAATTATGGAAAGTTGCATGTGCGTCTTCAAACAGATACATATTTTTAGATAGAGATTGTCATTCGCTTGATCATTGGACGTAAGGATCTATCCGAAATTAATGTGAACAGGTGCACTGAGACATTTACAACTACAATATAAATATGGGGAAAGTTTTCTCCAAATCCAACTGACATTCCTCCACACAGTCTCATAATTCGTAGTTTTTTGTAAAGAGAAAAACTAAGAGAAGTGAAGTCAACGAGTTTTTTAAAAGACTAGTCACACAGGATGAGAATTAAATGTTATTAATTAAATTAAACATTCACTTACACTGTTTATTCTAAATAATACCACAAACAGTCTCCCTCATAAATTTTAAGATTGAAATTTTTGACTTGGTAATTGAGCATTTTTTTCAGGCTTGGTTCTGTCTTTCAAATGGATAAAGCCAACTATTTCTCTAAGTTAATAGCAAATTCGCATTGAAATTCTATAATTGCTATGAGAACTGATTATCCAGCTACTGATTTGTTCTCGAAATGTCTGTTTACCTGTCAAAGATTCTTTCCAATATTTTTGCTGCCCATTTTTTGCATTTCCACCACACCGTATGCGCTCGCTCATCTCTGTCTTCAATCGAGTCAAGCTAAAGAACTTGACATTTAGCTCTTCAAACTGCACAGACAGATAGATCAACTAGCCTCAGCAGGGCACTGTCTTGCAAGGATATCGATGGCGAATTTGATCCATTCATCTAGCCTGGACATGGTAAGTATTCCAAAGTGAATTGAAAACTGAACATTTAATATCTGTATGAACTGAACATGACGGTAGAAAAAGTGCTTGCCTGAGTCAAAACATAAATTATCTTCAAGCCCTGAATTTGAATGAGGACAGATCCGGCAGATTGGTTATTCAGCAATTGGTGACAGTGATAGTATACAAAGGGTTCGAGCTTGGAAACAGGCTCAGCAATATCATCTCTGTCTTTATTTCTTTTGAACCTTGAAATATGAAAAGATTATGGTCATATTAGAATACGAAGAAGAACATTATATACTCGTAAACTTTGGCAAGTCGGTATAGGATCAAAAGTCCGGCTGACAATACTGAAGCATCTGGGGGACTGGCCAGTTTCGTCGTCAACTGAGTCACGAACTGGGGCCACTTATCAGGGAAATCCATTCGAATAATCTGTTGGATCGCAATACACAACTGAGTTCTGCAATAATCCTCATTACGATAGCCGGCGAAGCAAAGTGTAATTGTTTTCCATAATCTGCCGAAGCAAACCCATCTAATAACGAGAATCAATAACATTCCCAATGGAAAATAAACAGGTGACCAAGATGGTATTGATCGTCGGAAAAATTCGTGCCGTTCTTTTTTCAAACTCAGTAACTATCTAAGAAACCGAAAAATTTGGTCAGACACATGTCACCTGAAGGAAGAAGTTTCCTTCAACAAAAGAATATTGGCTCATCACATGTCACCTGTAGGAAGAAGTCTCCTACAAGAGAATATTGGCTTATCCAGTGAATTCGGCTGTGCTGAATTAGAATTGATCAAGGTCAAAAGTTTAGGGGGGCTGAAAAATAGTATAACCGACAGATCAATTTTTGGAACGCGAGAAGTTTGAAAATTGCTATGAT